ATGGTGTCTATTATAAATTTTTTTCTAAAGGATACTATAAAAATTCCTTTTTACCTTCCCCTATAAATCCAGTAGCAGATCCATGACTTAAATTTTGCAGTAATACCACAATTTTTACTTTTGCTTAAAAAACACTATTAGAATTCCTTTAAGTTACTACAGTTGCTCATGTTTTCAGATTGTTAATTGTAAAAGAAAAACCACTGCCTGCAAAAATAAAGATTGATCAGATGGCTATGGATAGAGATCGCCTGTGTGGAAATCCCAAGTTACCTTATGCATTTATTAATTTCTAAAGGCTTTCTTTGGATTATTGATTTTTGTTTTTCCTGTTTGGAAGCATACTCGTTTTATGCAGAATTTCATTATTTTCCCTGCTATGCCCTTTCTGCTGAAGATGATGAGCTATATACCCAAAACAACACTCCAGCCTTAGGTCTCCTGCCACCTATAGCTCTAAAGAAAGATCCAGCACACCAGGAGAGCAGGGCCAGTGTTAGAGCCCCCAGCACCAGAGATGTCCTTCCAGACAGTAGTCCCAAGGCTATCCCTGAAGGGATTGCACATGGTGCCCTCCTGGAAGAACAAAAAGTGAAGTCACTGCAGTATGTTTGTCTTATGAAAGGAATCTATAATTACTCCTAATTACTCCTTTTGTTTAAGCTATTGAGACTTGTGTGATATTTTTAATAGGAGTCCTGGGAACTTTAGGAACTGTTTTTGTTTTTTACTTGTGTGCAGAGGAAAACAGGGGGGGGATTTATTTCTGTAAATTCTCGTGGGCCAGATGCCAATGAAAAGGCAGGAAAATCAAGAGGATTATAACTCCTTTATATACACACATCTTTTTATATTCCAATATTCTTACGAACACCATAGTAGGACATCTAGCCATGGATTTGGGCTTTTCCCTCTTTCCAGTGCACAAAACCAGAGTATCCCAGCCCTCAGCTTCATCTCAGTGTTCCAAATGCCCAGACCTGCCTGATGGACAGATCAAACTGTATCCTGCACACACTGAGCCATTGCTACAGGCTGTCACATACCAGGTAAAATACCTGGCACTTTCACTGTGGAAGTAAAAGCACTGCGTGAGAAGCAGGAAGTCTGGAAGACAGTAGGGCTTTTGTCCATGGAATGGATGAAAGCAGGGCTGGTAAAAGCTGCCACATACACTGCAAACTGTGTAAAACTCCAGCACAGAGTCGATTGCACATCTAATACTCAATGTGCAGGGCTTGGCAAATCTTGGAAATAAAGTGACTCACTCACTGGGAAAAACAACGGGGGGGGGGGGGGGCGGGGAAATTAGTGGTAGAACTAAACTCCAAAGATTTTCCCATAAGAAAATTCTAGGCAGCAAAGCCATCATGTTCAGTGCAGTAGGCACTATAAAATACATACTCTTGTCAATTCCAGGCAAGGCTCATCCCCAAAAGGTGGGGTCAGTACCCACCTCAGAAGCTGCTCGTGTACCAGAAAGAATAAAGAAATACACCTCCTCTCAGGAAGTTTAGAGAAGTGGCAGAAGCACATGGAAAATCCAAATAAAATATTCTATTTTGTAAACCATTTTTCATTTGTATGTATATACATACATTTATTTATTTATTTTTCTGGAGTTGCACTTCTGTGCATCACAGAAAATATTCTGTACATGAGCTTTGGAACTGGGCAAATTGTGATGCAGAGCTGCATTTTGGTGGTCCTTGCTGAACACTGAACAAGACCAAAATCCAAAGTTAAACAACCACTACATTTGAAAATTCCTATCAAACTAGATTTACTTTTATGCTACAGGTCATGAATCCCCTTTTCAGCCTCATCATTCTCTGAATTACCACATCACAATGTAAACAATTATTTTAAGTGCCTGTAAGAATGTGAGAATCCTCTCTCTAAGAAACGCTTCTGCTTTGATGACTCAGATTGCTAACACTGCTTGGGTTTATGTTTTCAAGAGTTTATAAAAGCACTTCACTAGGCAGCTTCATCGTGGTTTCTGATGACAAAGAAGTTTGTCATTATCAGAGGCCATAATTCCGATGTTCCTGTTCTATTCAGCTTCAATCCAGACGAACGTAAACACAAAACAATCCAAAGACTGTTTCTGTTTTTACATAGGTAGCATTCCAGTTTCAGACAGTCTGGAAAAAAACTGCAGAGCGGGATTCAGTCAACATTCTCCTCACCGAGACTGAATCCCTTCTGCTCATTCAGACACTCCTGCTAAGGTCTGCACAGCAACTCCCCTGTCCCGAACAACAGGAAAGATCACGGCACTGCCGTGGAGGGCTTGTCCATACTGGATGTTAATGAGCAGCAAAGCTGCCTCAGAATTTGCCAACTGTAAACCATGTGCTCCTTTCCCTTGCAGAGAGTCTCAAAGGAAGAGGCAGCTAGTTTGTAATCTGCTCAGGCATTTCTGCTATGCACCTCAGCCAGCCAATGTGAATCATCTTCTGACAGACAAGTACTGCAACCTCCAAAAAACAAAGTTGCAGGCTACTTTATGGGAAAGGAGTAGGTCTTGTTTCTGGTAAGAGTCATCACACACACAAAACAACGGTCAAGAGTGACAAATGCAAACGAGAACAACAGATATACCTTGTGCCTCCAAGAAATTTTGCTGTTAGGAATAAGTGGGAAGCATGTTAGGATTCAGTGACATGCAGCGCAGCCAGTGATCACTGGTGCAGTAATGCAGTCAGTGCAGTTTGGTTTTGGGAAGCTCTAAGGGGAAGATTACAGCAGAAGCATGTATCTGCATCATTAGACATGTGGGCCAGACGAGCTCATCAAAGCCCACTCTGGCTATGACAGCCACATTAACTGCAGTCTGGCCTGCACGGAGCATTCTGGACCCGCTCAGGACACAGGGATGGCACAAGTCAGAAACTCCCCAGCCCTTCAATCTCTCCTCAGTCTCTCAATGCCCTTTGCAAAAGCCAGGGCATGTTCAAACTGCTGCTGCACTCCAGCTCTACCCTCAGAAGCTGCAGACAAGCAGGCAGAGGTGAAGCAGCCCTGCCCTACAGGATAACAATCAATTCCTAGTCAATCTATAAGACAGCAATAGAAAAAAAGGTAAAAAATACTCTCTCCATTTCTTTCCTTTCCTGATATTTTGCACCATTCTGTCACTGCACTGACATATACTCTGTGTTGCCTCTTTTTATTGGTAAAAGGATTTGCTCTGAGTTTTAAGAGACAAGCCAGGGCAGTTCACATGGCAAAGCCAGTAGCCAGCAAAGAAACATTTTCTCTAACTGTACTTTTTTCAAACTCGATCAGGTACTTGATCTGGTACATGAACATCAACTGTGACTTTCATTTTTCTTGCATCATTTGCAGTGGCAAAAGTCTCAAAGGTCAAATTATGCCTCCAGATACAAACACAGTGCATATTCCGCCCACAAATGATACAGGCAAAAACTCAGTGGGGATAGGGGAAATGGTGCAGTGTAACAAGCTGTTCTTTGTTATTTTCTTGGGCAATGTGCAAGGCTGGAAGCCAGAAAGGCTATTTTAACTAGGTTTTTTACAAGACCTTTTACCAATTTGCTGTGACAAACAAAATTCTACACTCAGTGATAGTCAAGGTTTTCAAAACTCATATTTGATTTCTGGACATTCCTCTATGTTACCTGGGTATAGATGCATGTGAACGATCAGCTTTGCTTATTTTTTCTTATTTTATGCATAAAGGAAACACTTTTGTCCCTGCATCCTGAACTTGAGCTTTCTGCCTCTCAGGCAATCTTGCTCTAGAGGCCTGACTCCACACAGAGAAGAATGGGGGTCAAAGTGAGTGAATATTGGCTTCCTTGGGTTCTGCCCAAGACAATTTAACCTTCATCTGCAAACAGCTACATCCTCACAAATAATTACTCTCCTACAGCCTCTCACGGTGGGTTTCAGGAGCAAAGAACAACTGTACATCTTCAATATTCGACAGGAGGGCCTTCTATGAGCTACAAACCAGTTCATTACAGGGCACGTTTCTGAATACAATGAAGCATCCTTTAAAGCCTTTGAAGGATTCAAAGTGAGAGCAGAGATGCTCTTCTCACTCTAAGCATGAGAAGGCCCCTCAGTTCATTTCTGTTGCATAGAAGTAGTCAGGTGCATGAAAGGAAACACTGACAGCCTCCTCGACCAAATCTGTCAGCACAGGAGCAGCCTCCTCTAGGCTGCACAGGATGAGAACATATGCTGCAACTGTATTTGGGGGAAAGAACTCGTTCAGATCAAAATACACACATTTTTCTTGCTAAATGTTATGTTACAAGTTAAAACTGTATTACAAAAAAGACCAAGCTTTATTAACATAGCTTAAAAACAGCAAGAAAAAAACCCTAGAAAGCTCCCAGCAATATTTATTGAATGGAACACCTGCAAAAAACATTTCTTTTAGGAAGAGGCTATGTAAGGTTTCAAACAACTCTCTTAAGTGAACAGGAAAAAAATTCTAGCACAGTGCTAAAAGTGTCCCCTTTGGTAAGAAACATCACATGGATGGCACTTGAAAAACACATGAATGCAAACTGCATTAGCCATTTCTTCTAAAAATAAGGCTTCAAGGATAGTTATTTGCCAAAGTAATACCTCTGCCAGCATTTAAACCATTTTGAACCACTAATAAAGATGAAGATATCCGACCTTCAGTAAATTATTAAGCATGAATGTTACTTTGCAGACAGCATTAGTGCTGCAGGATGTTGATTGAGACTATCAAAAAAAGAGAGAGATCTTTGTCAGGTGTCTGGAAACAGAAGTCCAGATCCTACAACCACTCAAATATTTTTAAACCACAGCAATAAACAATAACGGGGTGTACCTTGTTAAACTACTGGGATGTAATCCCAAAACTGCTCTAGAGTACAGTGGGAACTGGGTTAGAACCTTAATGTTCTGAAAGGCAAGAATAAAAAGCAAAAGATTTTAAATCATCACTTGTTAACAAACACCTTTAAAAATTGCATTCAACTGTAACTTACGCATTTTCAAGTCTTATGTGCCCGTGAGTAGTAAGAGTGTGGCTGGTAAAGCATCCTTCCAGGACAAGCAAACCTGGCAAAAACAAAGACCAAAGAGAGAGGAAAGCAATATTAATGGATTTTTTCCAGATCTCATTTAAAAACGTCGCCAAACTATGTACACAGTGATTTTTTAAAGGCTTATAAGTTTATTAAATTTGAGAGTTTTTTCACAGGTACAGCATGAGGTAAACTAATAATACAAATATTGCCCCTTATTCATCAAAAGACATCAGTTATCTGCTCCACAGCAGGAATGAATTTCAGCTTCACAAGAAAGTATCCTAAATTTTTCTGTGTTTACTGTTGGAGGCAACAGAACAGGTTTTAGGTGTTGCAAAAATCACAAGCCACAAAACCCGAGGTTCCACTAATTTTCAGTTACAAGCATATACTTCCTATAAGTTCTATAAGAGCCAAAACAACCCTCCAGCTATATTAAGCTTTCAAGAACCCAGAATTTAAATAAGAAAATAATTTACATAATTTTGGAATGTTTTTAATTTGTTAACTTATGTTTGAAAATGTTAAGTTAGATTTCAGATCTTTCCCCTCAAACTATATTAGGTATATCAATAAATAACAAATATGGAAGTCAGCATTCTCATAATAATTTAAAATCAAGAACTTTAAGATGAATATCTAATTCAGTAAATGTGATCATATGCAAGTAACTGACTGGAATACTCTAAGAGTTGTGTACAGTGCACATATTTTCTTCATTATCAGATTTTTTCCGAAAAAGTCTTTGTTCTGAGAGACAGAACTAATGCTTATTATACTATTTTTCAATTAAGCCATATCTTAAAATCCAGTAATTATTGAAAAATGGACAGTCTCCAGTGCGGGTACCCTTGAACTCTACAATCAACAATTGACATTGATTATATTTTTTCTTTCCAGAAATGTTTGTTCCCAGGCTCCAAATTGAGCATGCTGGTCAAATTGTCTCACTCATTCAATCCTTTTGAGCACAAATATAAAAACCTCACTAATATTTTCACCAGAAGTTAAACATTCCAAGCACAGGAACAGCTAAAGTACATAAGGTAGCATTTACATACTTATTTTCTCATCAGACGATTTATTTCTTAAATCTAAGTGATGATGATTATTTTTGGAGAGCAAGTAAAGGCTGGAAATGGTTTTCCTTCCATCAGTTATCACTAACTCAACACATGTCTTTCATTTCAAGTTACCATAGGCACTGCAACTAAAGACCATAGAAAAACCTCCAAGCTCCGCTTTGAGACTGTTCACCAGAACACAGAGTTCTCTAATCTTAACTCCCAGGGCAAAATCCTGGTCCCAGTGAACTGAATGGTAAAACTGCCACTAGTGCAGCAAGGTGAGGAGTTCTCTCAAGTGGTCCTCGGTAGACCTTTTGAAGCCTCCTCACCAGCTGCTCTTTGAAATGCACTTTTCTTTAGCAACATTTGCCCCAACCCATTCATCTCTTTGTGGGACTGAAATGATTTAAGGTCTCTGGCGAATTAGTCGTCTTAGCTACCCATTTGTTAACAATCCCTTTGCATTATTCCCTTCAGACGACACTGATGGCCTCATTAGAGTCTAGCACCCAAACCCCACAGGAGGACACTGCACATCTGTGACACACACTTGCCATTCAGAGCTCTTCGTTCATCAGAGCAGATTTCCCCGCAAACAACGCTTATGTGGCCTCTTCTTTCACCCGTGCTTCAGAGGAGAGTCCAACTGATGGGGGTTCTCTGTGCCCAGACATCACCATACTTTTCCCAGTCCCCTGAGGTGAGACATTGCTGTCTTCACCGTTTGCCTTCCTGTGTGTTTGTCCAGGGATCTCGGCCACATTGCACCGCGGGCAGCTGTTCAATGCTTTCCATGCTCTTATTTCGCCGCAAGAAGCCACTCAGTTCCTGCAGGATTCAAAGACACCTGAAAAAGAAAGAACATATTCATTAGTGAAAAGCTCCTTAAAAATTAAAGCCTCCCTGCAATGGCCTCAACACCAAAGTATCTTGAATGCCACACCTTACAAATTAAGGAGAGCACACAAATAGTACTTTCTGCCTTCAGACACTACATCTGTCAACTCTACAGGAGGATGCTCATCCCCAAGATAATGATTTTATGTTTGTAATGATGTCCTTTTGGTCTAGTAATTATAGAGATGAGAAGGTAGAAAGGAATCTGACTTTTATATCAAACTGCATCAAAACCAGTGATGTCAGCTATTAATATTCATGTCAATATTTCAATTGAGGGGGAAAAAATCATAACAGATTTGTCACAGAATAACAGACTAAGCTAGAGGCAACAGCTTAAAATGACTGGCTTGCAGGTTAGTCATGGTCTGAACATAGATTTTCTTCCAAGTAGGAATAAGAAAGCTTTTCCAATTCTATTTACAGTTTTTAAGTATTCAGAAACAGACTCTACTAAAGAACAGTGGAGGGTTTTTTTCCCCATTCTAACCAAGAGATTCACAAGGGATTTATGAAGGCTTTTTTAAAAACAAGTAAGAGTCATCAGGTCACAGATACCAAGTTGCCCTCTTACTGCAAAAATGTTAATGCTACTGGTCTACAAGAATATCAAGAATTTCCTCATTATATCACATATAAGGCAAAGTCTTTATATTTATTGTTACAGGATAATCAGCTACAGAGCCCTCCAGTATTTTAGAGCAAAAGCACATGAAATTTTTAGCAGCCATTCTCTTGAGGGAAATTTCAAGGTGACTGGAACAGTACTTTATATGGATAAAAAAATGCTTATAATTAGAACAGACTTCTTAAATGATCATTTTGCATTTCTTATTCATGTTAGCAGATTGCAGAAAAGGTATAGATACTTGAAAAGACGAAAAATTATAATTGATGTTATTTTAATTCTGTATTATAAAGAAAAAACCTACATCACTCTATTTGAAACTAAAAAGCTACACTACTTCCTCCTTGAAAGTCTGGGCAGCTATGGAGAGCTATTCACTATTAAGTAGGTGAAACCACACACAGAGTTCACAAGTTATTCCTGACTTTCACAGCAGCACTTGAAGATTATCACACAAGATGCAGCAAATGAGTTTATGCAAGAACTTGAGAAGTGAAGAAGACTTAGACAAAAGGGGTAAGGGCAAGCTCTCATCCATGGACTGCCACATAAAAATGGTCTGAAGTTAGCTGGACCCTGGCCAGTCTCAGCCTTGGTCCACCACACACCCACCACACAATTGTCTCTGCCACTGCTTCATTAAAGAGTGTGAGACCTATGTGGGGCCTGGCCTGTCTTTGGATATTATTTGCATGAGTGTGTTTGTGTACCTGGACCTGGCACTGTTTACGCTGTCCCCCTACTAGAAGGGAGAAACCAAATGAATTTCTGTTTTTGGGGTTGTTAGTCTAGCCAGTCTAGCTTGCTTGCTTGTTCTATTTGTGATTTTGTTTTGTTTTAAAACAATAATGCTATTAAAACTCACTCTATAAGCAGAGATATAGAGAAAACTGTACAGACCCTGATCAAGGTGTTCTCAATTTCATTATAGCAGGCTTGAATTACCTTTTGAAACTGGAGCCAATCTTCACAGATATTCACATGAAATCTCTTTAACTGAAGAAATGAGTAATAAGGTACAAACCATATCTTCTTACAAAATCCACTATGAAACATTTGTAGGAAAGCACAAGCACAGACTGCATTAAGTGGGTAGGTAATTAGCAGACCTGGAAAAGGGCTTGCATGCCTAAAAGCTTATCTATTCTCTCTCTTCCCAGTTACATTGGTCAGTGTAACAAGAGAACCTGCTTTTCCCTACAAATCTGCCCTTGCAGAAAGTGGGACTAATTTTTTTCTAGAATGTGCTGGTCATTTCCCCCCCAGATACCCCTTTGAAGTTTGTGCAGATCATCCAGATTAAGCCCTACCCTATCACATTGAGGAGAAAATGAAATTTTCAGTGGACTTGCAATAGTAGGCAGTCCTGAAGACATGGGATACAATGACCACTGACTCTCATCCACTGAACCAGGTTTTCCTAATAAAATCAGTGTGCCAGCAACTAGCTAGATTAAATAGAGAGAGAAATGAAGGACAGTGGGCAGAAAAACAGATGTTATGGTAGATGTTTAAACAGGAATGCTTACATTGGAAGGTGTGCATGATCTTACACAAGGGTTAGAAGATGGAAACTAGTCTAATTTACTATGGAGGACAAAAAAGGGGACAGAACATCAATACTGTCTGTTTAGACTACTTCCCTTCCTTGCCTTGAGCCTACTTTACACACCTGCAATTAAAAGAAAAAAAAATATATATAATGAAGCTTTTGAAATCAAGCATATGCCTCAGTTTTGCTGCAAACCCTCTGATGCATCACCCATTATCATCAGAAGTGTAGGACAGAATTCTCAGGCTGTGAAGAAAATCTTTTTGCTTTCACTGTTTTGCTGTGTCTGTCCCTGCAGCCTCACTTAGTCTCTCCAATTACTACACTATTTAGTAATAGTGGGAAGATTATTCCTATCAGTCACTGTTCAGTCTAGGTCCTTAATAAGGTGCTACTGGTAAGGCTGCAAAACCTGAGTATGAGCTGAGGTATCAGGATCCAGTTGTCTCAACACATTCCTTGTGTAACAAAACACCTCAAACTTAGGAGCAATGCTTGAAAAAGAAAATGGTTTTCAGAAAAGTACTGAAAAAAATAGTTTCCCCACGCAGTTCCACCCAATTATCATTACTCTGAGCTTCAGTTATCATTACTCTGAACTGCAGAACTTTCGAACCAAGAAACAAATACTTGAGTGACGGCAGAAGGGGGGGGCTTATTTATTTATGCATTTATTTTTTATTACAGGAAGTTCCTAGAATGCAGGCCAATCATTTCAATCTACCAAAAAAACCTCGTGAGTAAATAGCTACTGTAAGATTTTTCAGGATTTATGAAAGCAACTGTCCTCTACAAGAGTTAGGTTAGAAGGAAGAGGAGACCATCCACAGTGCAGCAGCAGGAAAACCTGACTGGGGTCACTGGCACTCTAACCTAATACACAAGTCTGTTACTTGGCAATCAACAATCGGTGGCTGCAGTCATAATCGCTGTCCTGGACCTGCATCTTGCACAGAGTTGTCCATAAAATTACTCATGTGCATAAGTAGTCCCACATGGTTCAGTGGGTCTCATTACCTAAGTGTTAGCAGGGGGCTTAGGTCAAGATCCTGCATTCCTTAGACCAGACAGATTCCCACTGAAGTGATTAGGAGCGCTTCATTTGCCAAACAGAAAGAATTCCACAGGTATTTGTTTGAAGTGTGATACAAATTTACTTTGGCCATAGTTCCACCTTTCTTTAACGTTTGCAGGAAAAAGTTATTTGAATGCACAAGTATTTACTGACCAAAGCAAATTTCAGACCCATATTTACAAGTATTTGCACCAGAAGTTTTTGTACACAGCTACCACCACACATATGTTATCTGACTAAACTATAAAAAAAAAAAATCTCAAATTTCTGCCTCTCACACTCAGATTTACTGATTTACGAGAGCATGTGAGAGTTTTGTTAATTTTTAGACATACAAAGAAACCGTTGCCCATTTGCAGCTGAAAGGTAGACTACACTCATTGCCAGGTAAATCATTTCGTTTGATCCCTGAGCAAGCGCTGCAACAGTGAAACGTGGTAAATTAAGCAGACATCTTGCTAAATCAGCAGCACGGGATTGAACCCTTAGTGCTATTCACTACAAATGGATCCGCTGGATTACGGGTCATTAGTTCAATCACTTTTACCAAGTACAACCAAATTGGAACGTTATTAAACATTTATCTTCAGGGGCAGATTTACTGTGAAGATAAGGAGATTGTAGAGACTCTCCATTAGCACTGCCTATTCCAGCATGCATTCCTGTCATAAGCACCTTTCATTCATAAAAATATTTCTGGAACCCAAAGCATCCCACAGATGTCTGCCTTTACATGCTGGTGACCACACCCTGGCACCCTCCAGACGCTGACCAGTTAATTCCAATACACATTTTTTGATAACCTCTTGCTGCTTTCCTACTCCATGCTGTCAAGATAGCAGAAGCAAACCCTTTTCAAGAAATACAAACTAAAAGCTGGATTTCCCAATATTCAGTCAGTCCTAAGGACACCGAGTCACTGAGCTTGCTCCTAGCAGCAGGCCACACAGTATTGTTTGAAAAACAGAAAAACAATTATTTAGAAATGTAATTTCTGTCTCCCAAGGGTTTATTTTAACTCTTACCCCGGGCCTCCGCATCTGACTCCTGTCTCCTTCCGACCCTCCCACTGGCTAGAGCAGGAAGACAGGGCCTGTCTGTGAGCCCCTCGGATGAGTTAGGAAAAAAAACTAGACAAAGAAATTCTCACAGATCTTTTGCAAGTCCTAATCGCAGGCCTTGAACAGGCACCCCAAACAATCTGTAACACAATAGCACCGACAAAAGTGACAGAAAGACATCTCCCTTTACAGAGAGGGTGGTCAGACATTGGAATGGGTTGCCCAGGGAAGTGGGCAAATCTCCGTCCCTGGAGATTTTTAAAAAGAGACTGGAGGTGGCACTTAGTGCCATGGTCTAGTAACCGCAGCGGTGTTGGATCAAGGGTTGGACTTGATGATCTCAGAGGTCCCTTCCAACCCAGCTGATTCTATGATTCTATGATAAGAGTGGTTTGTCAGAGAAAAAACATTAGAAGAGAAATGGGAACAATTTACCACGTTGGCTGTAAAGGGGAATGGCTCTTACTAACTGAAGCTGAAATCATCACGGACTTGCTAAGAAAAAGGGTAGACACACAAAAGCCGTTTCCTTTCCCTCTGAGGTCAATTTGGGTCCTTAGAAATTTTTACCTGAGCCCATTATGTGCCATTGAAACGTAAGGAATTAACTAAGCAGGAGGAAAGGGCAGTTTTC